GATTCTTACATGAAAAGAGTTAAGAAAATGGCACTAGCAATAACAGTCTATTGTATATGGTTGGAAAGAAGCAAGAGGCTATACATTAATACAAGGAGGACCAGAGAGGAAGTATTGAAGCAGATAAAAATCCAAATCCTAACAGTGTTATATCATAGGCCTATCCCACAGAAACATAGATGTTGGGTTAGTGATTTAAGATAGTTGAGAGGATGTGATTAGAATGAATGTAATACATGCTAGATAGCTCTATTTTGTGTTCTCAGTACTGACTGAGAGAGAGTTTGTACATACACCAATTTACAAGGTAATGAAATTCATATTCATTGACCAACCAAAAAAAAAGTTAACAAGCTGATTTCAGATAATCTATACAATTTTAAAGTCTTGTGGGCAATCATATAATATGGAAAATAAGTTTCAAATTACATAAATAGAGAGACAAATGTCAAGGAAGAAAACTATTCAAGTGATGCTTGACTTGGAGTTGCCGTACTACCAAAGCTGAAGCAGAGCAAACTATTAGTCAAACTTATATGTCCAATAATATAATATATTAACGAATGAGCTCATTGATTATAAGATAGATTGGATAAGTCGGGAGAGATTGTAACAAGCAAGCAACATCTTGATGAGGTGCTATCCCTTCAAAAAAATTCAAAAAAAAAATCTTGATGAGGTGCTAATAAGCATTTAAAACATTGTCCTTATTTAAAAAGAGAAATGATGAGGTATTGATGTGCCTAATTAAGCTAAGCAAGGAGGGACTTTTTGTGCAGTCTTGATGCTTGAATGGTAATTTACTTTCCCGCTTTGATCCAAATGCTGAAAAAACACACATTGACTGTGTCACAATTCAAGCTTTCTTTTTCTTTTCTAACTCCAGAGGTTTGGAGTTCAAATGTTTAAAACAATTTTGAGTTAAATTTGTAGATGTATGTGGACAAGATAGATCAATTTAATACCAATGTCTTAGTCAGCTGCTTTAACCTTGTTGTGAATCATTATGGGCCCGTAATGATACTTTTGCACAAGAAAGGAGCGAGTTGCATTTATACAAAATGATAAATAAAATTTCATGTACTTTCTTGTGTAAATCGCGTTTAAAACTTATCCAGTGTAGATCGTTGAGATATTCATGTATGATCATAGTCTCACTCAGAAAAAGATAAGAAAAAGTGATTGGTTTTTAAATAGAAATAGAGGTTGATACCTAATAGCTTAACTCTTTTTTAAGTTAATTTCGTCTTTAGCCAATCTAAGGTCCATTACTTTATAGTTTGGGCTTGATTTTTTCGCCCAAACATAGATAACTCTAGCGCATCATATGTAGTTAATGATTTGCTTTTGTTCTTATAGTTTCTTCCATTTACACCTCTATCACTAAATTTATTGATACGATAACCTCTGAATTTCATTTATATCTAGGGTTGGCCTTGAGGTTTGGGTTGCCCTAGTCCAATCCAATTTTGGTTGCCCTTTATATTAAAAATTTGGTACGAACAATAACGATAAAAATGAATACATGTAATACCATTTAGCATTCTATATTGGGCTCAAACTGATAATATTTTTTTGCAAAATCAATATTCATATAAGAAAAGATTATATTTGTGCTACAATTTAATTAAAAAAACTGACGAAATGCGCTCTCTAAGACTCGAACAGGGGCGGTTTACACAACAAACAAACCCCTCAACCATAATACCAAGCCCGCATCATGTTAAAGCTTGGGATTTTATGTTTTGGGATTTTATGTTTATAAATTATAATCCTACATTATATATAAAAATTTTGGTTGCCCTCGGCCCTGGGTTGCCCCAGCCCCGGGGCTTGGTGGGCTTACCCTAGAGCCGTGCCTGTTTATATCTATACTAATATAGAAAGAACCAACTGGGAGTATATTAGTAGGAACCAACTAGAGATAGGAACAATTATAGTTTCTTCCATTTACACCTCTATCACTAACTATTATTGATACAATTACCTCTGAATTTCATTCCACTTATCTATACTAATATAGAAAGAATCAACTAGGGATAGGAACAAAATTGATGAGGGGTTTGACAAACCATCATTTTCAATTGTTTGAAAAGGGGTAAGATTGTAATTTTATAAGGAAGATTTTTTTTTAATTTTATTTCTTTCTAGAATATTCTATGTAATTTTATTTGTTTATCTTTTCAATTCTATTTCTGTTGATGTCAGTTATCAAACGGGGGGGTTTATTAGTGGATTGGAGTAGAGTTAGAGTCCTCAAGATCATTCAGATGATTGGCTCTGTAGATCACCGTTCTTCCCTGCACATGAAGAATTCGTGAGAGGTCAGAGTTCAGTTCTCCGATTGTTCCTCTGATGATCAAGTCAACGTTGGAACTTAAGTGGAAAATATAGTGATAGGAATTGTCCAGAGTTGCATGAAAGTAGAAGAAGTTACCTCATGCAGTGCAACTCCCTTTTATAGTAGATCGGAAGGGCATGAATATAATTGTGGCCGTGTCCAGGCAGGCAACTGACTTGGCAGGTGTCTCTACAGGTGTCGACTGCTGAAGTGGGCGAGTCATCCTTGATTGGATGTGAGGATGATCGAGGGGGGTTGGTGAGTGATGAGTCATGATGACTCGTGGCATCAACTGTGATGAGGAGAGGTAGTTGTTGGTGTGGAGTTTGAGGACGCACCGCTTGTTGATTCGGCTTTGCGTGCAGGACGATAAGTACGACCTTTTTAGTCAGCCTCGAGAGTTGTCAGCTGAGATATTAGGCTGAGTGTGGAGGCTTGTAGGCTCGATCTGATAGGTAGGTCAGCAGGTACCGCCTTTCGAATCGGCCATATAACACTAGTAGAAAATGAAATATCACATACGGAATATCCCAGATGGAAAATTTTTCGTCTGGGATAATCTATACTAGACGGAATTAAACCGTCGATGAATTTCCGTCTATAATAAACTATTCTAGACGGAAATTTCCGTCTAGAAAAGTATTATAGACGGAAACATTTTTAAAATTTTTTTTTTGAATTTTACTGATTATCCTAGACGGAAATTTCCGTCTAGGATAATCAGTTCAATTTAAAAAGTGGAAAACCCCAGATCTGGACACCAAATTCCCAAATTCTCATTACAAAGAGGAAAACCCCAAATCCTTCGAGTTCCTAGCCCCAAACCCCAAATTCGTCGCCCGACCTCGCCGTCTTGGTCGTCTTGGTTCGTCGCACCGACCTCGCCGTCCCGTCCACGCCGCCCCTTACTCGCCCGACCTCGCCGTCCGTTCATCGCCAGACCTCGCCGTCCCTTCCTCGCCCTCCCTTCCTCGTCCCTTCCTTGCCGTGAGTTCCTTTGAGATATTTATTTAATTTTTAAGTTAGGAGCAGTATTTGTGACATGTCTTCAAGCAAACTGCGGCAATTTTAGGGTTATCTTCATCCCAGTCAATGAAAAAAAATTTTCAACAGTGAACAAATTCTCATCCAAAATTTTGTTTTTCTCTATTCGGCCACAGTAAGAAAAATTAGCGCATCCACGATGTTGTTGATCCATACTTTCACTAGTTACAGGGAGTACTTTTAATCTGGATGATATTTTCAAACAATATCTCAAGCGTAACAATCAAAAGCGTAGTACAATTATATTATTACTATGCTCATCTACCGTGCACAGTAGCTTTGCAGTGAATAGATGTTTGGAAATTTGAGAAGAAAGGCTGATAAAAGAGTAACAAGACACTGTAAATGTAACTCATCATGATGGATGTATTAAAGATCCATTCTTGACAGTTAAGCCATGGGTTGCATATGATTTTGATGTTTATAAGTAGCCATGGGTGTATATCATTGGCAACTTCTATTTCTGTTATCTTGTTTAGCTAGTTAAGCCCACAAGGCTCTCATGTTTATCATACAGTTTGTGATTTGAATTGTACAAATATGATTATATAGGCTTGTGATTTGAAAATGTGAGTTTGGAAGAAAAGGTTTTAAAAAAATAGAGTGATATATAACGCAATATTATTTAATAATGTGTTATATATCCAATTTAGGTAAAAAATATAACGTTAACCCTAGACTCCCGTCCAATAATTACAGCCAATTCTTTGAGGTTATAATATTAGATGAACGAGTCAAATTTGGGTAAGAGGTAAATTTTCCTACTCGAAATTGATCGTTCACTTTATATTATAATAGAAATGAATTGGTATAAAAATTTGTAATTATTGGATCTGTCCTTCTCGGACGGGTTAGGAATATAATAGTGCATACATCCAACTTTGTATACTTTGTATGATTTCATTTCTTAAAAATTTTGGCAGCCCATACCTGTTGTTCTCCGTGTACAATAAGCGTATGTTCTGCGTTTTGGTATATTATCAATACGCATAATAACATCCGCACAGTGTACAGGGAGAACAGCGGGTAGGTGCTGCCGAAATTTTTAAGAAATGAAATCATACAAAGTATATGAAGTTGGATGTAAGCACTATTATATTCTTAATGGATAGAAGCCTTCCTATGACAGCCGATCAATTGGTGTAATTAGTTTCTACGTACGTTTCAAATATATTTTATGTAGAACTAAATTTATATTGTTAAATGATATATGAACGTATGTTAGATTTGTTTTGTATGTATAAGAGTCATGAATGTACTAGTAGTTGTGTGATTTGTCGTAGTTAATAATTATATATAATTTACAGATGAGGGTAATTCCTGACAAATCATGGATAGATATCCCACGGCTTCATAGATTTCGTGACACGCGATACAAGGAGGGATGTGAAGCCTTCATACGTTATGCAGAAATGAATCCGAGAAAATTAGCAAGTGGTGCTATGTATTGTCCTTGTTGCATGTGTAGGAATTTGAAATTGCTGAATAGTAATGATATACGGATCCACCTAATGAAATCAGGTTTTGATGAAAAATATAAATATTGGAACTGGCATGGGGAAGGTATCACTGAAGATGAGGATCCAAATGTGCGTGTCGGTACGTCCGGTGGACAACGAATAGATGACACAGAAACAATGTTGAATGATATTTTTCCTCGACCTAGAGAATTTGAGGGTGATGATAATGTCGAGGATGATATCGGAGATAAAAGTGAAGATGATATCGATGTTGAAGCTGAAGAAGTAGGAGATGATGGAAGTGCCGAAAATATTGATGATATGCATTCCTCCGCAGAAATAGAACGAATATTGAAGCTACTAGAAGATAGTGAAAAGGACTTATATGAGGGATGTACCGAGTACTCCAGATTTTCATTTATGCTAAAACTCCTACACATTAAGACACTTAGCGGTATGTCAGATAATTATTTTGAAATGCTTCTTGATTTGCTTCGAACTGTAATACCTGGAGGAGTGAATAGCATACCCCAAACAACTTATCAAGCTGAGAAGATTGTCGCTGCTCTGGGTCTAGATTATAATAAGATTGATGCATGTCCGAATGATTGTATTTTGTACCACAAGGCCAATAAAGACCTTCAAGAATGTCCGACATGTGGAGTTTCTAGGTGGAAACAACGTACAAATTCTTCAATAAGGATTACAACGGAGACAGAGATAACACAGAAGAAAATTCCAGCCAAGGTGCTTCGACATTTTCCATTAGCTCCTAGATTGCGAAGATTGTACATGAACAAAGAAACGGCGAAAAATATGAGGTGGCACAAGGAAGATCGAGTAGATGATGGTAAATTGAGACATCCTGCTGATGCGGTAGCTTGGAAGCATGTTGATAAAATTTATCCTCGATTTGCCGAAGATTGCAGAAATGTAAGACTGGGTCTGTCAAGTGACGGATTCAATCCATTTGGGGTAATGAGCTCTGGTTGGTCTACTTGGCCAGTTGTACTAATGCCATATAATTTACCTCCATTGCTTTGTATGAAACAGCCATTTATGATACTTTCATTACTGATACCCGGTAAACATGCACCTGGAAATGATATTGATGTTTACTTAGAGCCTCTAATTGATGAGCTGAAACAACTATGGTCTGAGGGTATTGTAACATATGATGCCCATTTAAAAGAATCGTTTAGATTACGTGCTATTCTATTATGGACGATTAATGATTTTCCAGCCTATGCTAATCTGTCTGGGTATTCCACAAAGGGAAAGTGTGCTTGTCCTGTATGTGGTCCGGAATTTGAAGCTCTTCAATTACCACATAGCCGAAAGAGTTGTTATTGGTTTAATCGAAGGTGGTTGCCCTTGAGTCATAAGTACAGAAAATTATCAGCTAAGTTTGATGGCACAGTTGAGAAAAGAATGAAGCCGCGTCAACTCACAGGTACTGAGATCGTTCAATTACTTGAGGGGTTTCCAAAAGTTGTGTTTGGGAAAAAACGCTATTCTAAATTTAGCCCGCTCAGAGTAAGAGATTATTTAAAGTCAAAAAGGCCACTGAAGCGTAAGCGAAAGGTCCGGAAAATGCAAGTTGAGGAAGAAGACCAAAAATTACCTAGAGGATGGACTAAATTTAGTATCTTCTTTCAGCTACCTTATTGGCAAAATCTTAAAATCCGCCACAACTTAGATGTCATGCATATTGAGAAAAATATATGTGATAACATAGTATCAACTCTCCTACAAGATGCAAACAAGTCGAAGGATGATCTACGGGCGCGCCAAGATCTGACTGCTTTGAATATCCGAAATGATTTGCAAGCTCAAGATGTTGGACTTAAAAAATTAAAGTTGCCTCCGTCTCGTGTTACACTGACAAATGAGCAGATGCAACGATTTTGTGAAATTCTCAAATCAGTAAAGTCTCCGGATGGTTACTCTGCTAACATTTCAAATAATGTCCAAGTGCAAGAGCGAAAACTCTTAGGTCTGAAGACCCATGATTATCACGTTCTTCTCCATCAATTGCTTCCTGTTGCAATCCGTAACAATATGGATAAAGAAGCGTCGAAGATTATTATTGAGTATTGTGGGTTTTTCAGAAAATTATGCTCTAAAGTCATAGATGTAGATGAATTTAAAAAACTTGAAGCTGAGGTCCGAGTTACTCTATGCAATATGGAAGTAATATTCCCTCCTTCTTTTTTTACGGTTATGGTCCATCTTACCCAGCATCTTGCAAGAGAGGCTAGAATCGCCGGACCTGTTACTTATCGTTGGATGTATCCGATTGAGAGGTAAATTATATATTTTTTGCATTCATTACTTGTATATGCGTTTTTGAAATTACCGTGCTAATAATTAGTTATTTTGATTCTAAGATACTTGGGCTCCATGAAACATAATGTTCGCAATCGAGCTCGTCCAGAAGGCTCGATAGCTGAAGGATACGTGGCAAATGAATGCTTTATTTTTGCATCACGTTACATGCGCCAGAAGAAAACCACGGCTCAAGTACCAGATAAGGAGAGAAAGCGTGAAAAATATCCGAGATCTCTCTTAGAACAAATTCATGCATATGTGCTGGAAAACCTTGATATGTTCGCAGACTATCGAAGGTAACAAATAACACCCGAAATATAGATGAGACTATTCATTTTACATAATGTTCGCAATGCAAACTTATATATTGTTTATGTAGGCGACATTTGGAGAAGCTTAAGAATGAAACAACCGGTAGGAATGCAGCGCATAATATTCAGAAAAGACATAGGAAAGAATTTTCTGATTGGTTAAGATTTGATGTAAGTATTTAACAATTAATTTATGAACATTCATAATATAACATCCCCTAAATATTCTGAAATTTTTTGTCTTAGGTTGATAAATCACTTCTTGATGGTACTACGTTACCAGATGAAATTATTATACATGCACAACGCCCTTATTATGAAGTGAGACGTTATAATGAGCATTTGATCAATGGATATAAATTTCGAACGCTAGAGACTGATGATAGGAGGGTAACTCAGAACAGTGGGGTCATGGGCTTGTTTGCTCAAGAATGTTTTTCAAGTACAAGAGATCAGAACCCAATTCTAGCTGACATACTATATTATGGCCAATTAGAAGATATTGTTGAGGTAATTTACGGGTTTGGTAAACCAAAACAATGTACTTACACGATGTTCAAGGTTCGGTGGTGTCCTGCAAAAAAGCAAAAGGATCATTATGGATTTACACTTGTCAATCTCCATCGAGAAGTATATACGGATGAGAAATTCATTTTTGCAGAACAAGCTGATCAGTGCTTCTTCGTGAGAGATCCGAATGTCATATCTGATTGGGTGGTTTTGTACAAGGAGCCAAGATCTGTTGTTCTACCTAATAACAATGAAAAAAATATTGAAGAAAGTGAATATAATTATAGTGAACCAATTGGTTCATCTGATGATGTTTGGCAAGAATTCTCTTACGCACAGAATGTGGCGTTGGATGTAGGTATGTAATATATATGTTACACTGCATTAAAGTTTTTTAGCTAATCATAATAAGAACAATGCATTTCATAATAACTTATCTCATGAGCATGTATATTTTTTTTCTTAACTATGTTAATAATTGAATTTGCAGATGAGGAGTATTAGGAGACTCTTTGACCAAGCGGGTGATCGATCACGTAGTATCACCCCTGGTAGTGGTGCTGATGATACACCACCATCTCCGGATGCAGGTATAAAAATTAATTAATACTTTAATATATTTTATCAATTATTAATTATCTAGCTAATAGTGATCATTTGGCCCTGATGCAGTACCATCTCCGGGTTATTCATCACCTGGCCCCTCTGATGCAGTACCAGAACCATCCCCTGATGCAGGTATTCAATATTATAATGCTCAATTATAATGGTTAATTAAAAACTATATTAATGATTCTCCTTTCTTATGTAGGGGATACTTGGACACCGACATATCCATCTTATACATTCCACACGGACTTGCGGCCAAAGACACAGGACTATCTTAGTTTACCTTTACCTCCAGCCTCTCATAAGTCTATGGCTGACGCAAGGAAGTACCATACACGTGCTGCGAGAAAATTAGAAGAAATGCGTGAAATGATTGAGACACGAAAGAAGGTTGCACTCGCAGCAAAGGAAAGAGAGATAGCGAATGGTAAATTGTATAAATACTTTTAATTTTCACATTTGTATATTATATGATATATTATCATGTTATTATTGTAGGTGCTAAGAAGGATCGTATCGAGAACAGACGTGGCGGAGGTAAGCCTGATTCTAAACAACCGCCAAGAGGAATGAGGGCCATTATTAGGTGGAATAGTTCTAATTTGCCCGTTGGTCCATGGTCGACCCGCTTGAATGCATATATTGGGGTTCTAGTGCGTAGAGCGACCATTATCAACCCTTATTTTCAATTTCGAGAACTACCATGGAGCGCATACGAGGCGATATGGACAGAGCTTATGGTAACTATCGTCGAGGAGGTCCGGATGGACCCACATCACTTGCCCTGATGGCAGAGTTTGTGGAACCAAACCCTTCTCCCGCTGGTTGTGAGGATCGTCGTTAGTGATCTTCAAAACCGCCTTGGGGATAGGAATTATCCCCGCCGGAGCTTGAACCTCCGGGAGACCCGTCCCAAAGCTCAAAGTGACCATGTTCGCCGTCACCTGCTTTTGGACCTTCTCTTTCTTCAAGACCCCCGCGTCGTAGAGGGCCTGGAGTTTGTCCTTGAGGACGTAGCACTTGGTTGTGTGATGCCCAAGGAATCTGTGATATGCACAGTAACTTGGGTCACCGGTTTTGTCCGCCTCTTCAGGCTTGACGGCTTCTGGCAACTTAATTCGCCCACTCTTGAGTAGAGTGTCGAGAGTCGCCACTACCTGGTCTTCTTTGAAATCATATTGCCGCTGGGGGCGCGGTTCAAATTGCCTGGGTTTCGGCTTTTGAACGAACTTTGGCGCCGCGGCAGAGTCTACGGCCATAGCCTCTTTTCCCTTCGATCGAGGAGGGTTCTTTGGCGCCGCTGGTTCTGCTGCTCCCTTTTTGGACTGTGGCTCTTCGGCCTCCAGCCTCTTGATCATATTTTCAACTTGCTCGCCTTGGCGAACAAGTTCCTTCCAAGTCCGGGTTTCAACTGCCCCTATTTTGGATAGGATGTGGATTGACAGATTGTTACGGCACATCTCGATCAGTGTCGCTTTGGAAACTTGGTCCCGACAGTGGACTGATCGATTTCGAAATGTCTTTACGAAGTCGTTAACTGACTCCGACTTACGCTGCTTCTCAGCGAGGAGAGTGGCCATTGACACTT